GGGGGGCTGGGCAGGTTTGTGGGGCTTCCCTTGAACTCCCCTGGTCCCTCTGTGGAGGGTGTGGGTAGGGGGTGTCAGGGCACCCTGATCTCACCCGGATCCTGTTCAGGGGGGTGGCTTAGGGGGTGGTCAGGGCACCCTGATCTCACCCGGGTCCTGTTCAGGGGGGTGGCTTGGGGGGTGTCAGGGCCCCCCCCAGATCTCACCCGCCCTCTCCCTGTCAGTATGGGGGTACCCAGTACAGCCTGGTGGTGTTCAACACGGTGGACTGCGCCCCGGAGTCCTATGTGCAGTGCCATGCCCCCACCAGCAGCGCCTACGAGTTCGTCGCCTGGCTGGACGGCATCCAGTGAGTGGGGGGGTGAGGGGCATCCAGTGGGGCGGGGGGGGAGGGACTCCTGGGTTCTCTCCCTGGCCCTGGGAGGGGAGTGGGGTCTAGTGGGTTAGAGCAGGGGGGGCTGGGAGCCAGGACTCCTGGGTTCTCTCCGTGGCTCTGGGAGGGGAGGGGAGTGGATTCCTGTGGGTCAGAGTAGGACTCCTGGGTCCCATCCCTCGCTCCATGAAGGTGGTGTCCTGGGGGGCCTCACTCGGCTCCATGTCCCTCCCGCGCAGGTTTGTGGGGGGCGGCGGCGAGAGCTGCAGCCTCATCGCCGAGGGGCTCAGCACGGCCCTGCAGCTCTTTGACGACTTCAAGAAGATGAGGGAGCAGATGTGAGTGTGGGGCAGAGGGGGGAGCCCGGGATGTTGGACGGTGGGTGTTCCAGCTCTGGGGCTGGGGGCTCAGGGTGGGCAGTCCTGGGGTGCTGGATGGGGTCAGGGGCTCGGCGCTCTGGGCTGCGTTCCCCATGTGCTGCATGCTGGGAAGTGGAGGCTCCATGGCATCTCCCCCCCCACGTCTGTCTCTCCCCCTCCCCGCCCGCAGAGGCCAGACCCACAAGGTGTGCATCCTGATCTGCAACTCGCCCCCCTACCTGCTGCCGGCTGTGGAGAGCACCACCTACTCCGGCTACACCACCGAGAACCTGGTGCAGAAGATCGGAGAGGTGAGGGGGGCCCGGGAGCCTGGATGCCTGGGTTCTCCCCCAGCTCTGGGACGGGAGGGGGGTCTAGTGATTAGAGCAGGGGCGCTGGGAGCCAGGACTCCTGGGTTCTCTCCCCCAGCTCTGGGAGGGGGGTCTAGTAGTTGGGGGAAGGGGGGTGGCGTGTCTGGGAACCAGGACGCCTGGGTTCTCTCCCCGTTCCTCGGCCTCCACTCACCCTGTCCCTCCTCTCCCCAGCGCGGGATCCACTTCTCCGTCGTGTCCCCCCGCAAGCTGCCGGCGCTGCGGGTGCTCTTCGACAAGGCCACGCCCGGCGGGATGCTGGAGGCCCAACCCAAAGACTTCAGCCAGGATCCCCGGCACATGATCCTCATCCGCGGCATGGTGCTGCCGGGTAAGGGGGTGGAGGGCGATGGAGGGGGGCTGGCGCCTTCACTCCCCACAGCTCCGCCGGTGGAGGGCAGCGGGACCCCTCCCTGCAGGTGGCCCTGGGGGGCAGAGGAGACGGCCTGGGGGCGTGAAGAATGCAGGGCCGCGGAGCCGTGAGCAGGACGCCCGGGCGGGAGGGGGCAGAGAGGAGCCACGATCGTGGGGCCCTGTCTGGGCTGGAAACTAGGAATCTATAAGGCCCCAGAGGTCACACTGGGGTCATCCCTTCTCGGCAGGGGGTCTGAGGTCATGAAGGGGTCACCCTTTCCTGGTGGGGGTCAAAGGTCATGCTGGGGTCACCACACCTGCCAAAGGCTTAGGGGTCACAGCAGGGTCACCCCTTTCAGAAAGGGAGTGAGAGGTCATGCTGGGGGCTGTCCCTTCCCGTGGGAGGGGCAGAGGTCATGCCTGGGTCACCCCCACCTACCAGGGGGTCAGAGGTCATGCCAGAGTCACCCTTTCCCAGCAGAGGGTCGGAGGTCATGCTGGCGTCACACCCTTCCGGCAAGGGGTCGGAGGTCATGCTGGGGTCACCTCCTCCTGGCAGGGAGTCAGAGGTCTGCCTGAGGTCCCACCCAGGGGTTGGGGGGCATTGGGTGGTGCCGGCCTCTCCTGGCTGCTGACCTGCCTCCCATCCCCCAGTAGGTGGCAGCGCAGCCTCTGGTGCCATCCAGCCCAAGCAGGTGGTGCCCCAACCGCAGCTCCCCACCGCGCCCCCGCAGCACCCGCCGGCCCCGCAGCAGCCCCTGCCGCCCGCCTCCCAGCCCTACCAGGTACGTCCCCCGGGGGCGTCCCAGCCCTGCCGCCCGCCTCCCGGCCCTACCAGGTACGTCCCCCGGGGGGGTCCCAGCCCTGCCGCCCGCCTCCCAGCCCTACCGGGTACGTCCCCCCTGGGGGGTCCCAGCCCTGCCGCCCGCCTCCCGGCCCTACCGGGTACGTCCCCCCGGGGGGGTCCCAGCCCTGCCGCCCGGCTCTACCGGGTACGTCCCCCCGGGGGGGTCCCAGCCCTGCAGCCCGCCTCCCAGCCCTGCCGGGTATGTCCCCAGCCCGGCTCACCTTTGCTTCACCCTACATGTCCCCCAGCCCAGCTCCCTCAACGCCGCCCAGGCCGCAGCGCAGTCTGCCGTGGAGGCCGCCAAGAACCAGAAAGCCAGCATAGCCTCGCGCTGTGAGTGCTGGGGAAACCCGGGCGGGTGTGTGTGTGTGTGTGTGTGTGTGGAATTGGGGGCAGATGGAGGCTGAGGGGGGATGGGGGTCTCACAATGGAGTGGGAGGTTGTGGAGCAGGTTCCTGGGGGTGAGGTCTCAAGGTGGGGCTTGGGGGGTCAGGGCGGAGGGGAGGGGTCTCGGGAGGGCCTGGGGAGAGGGGAGGGGTCTCGGGAGGGCCTGGAGGGAGGGGTGGGATCCTGACTGCTTTCCCTCTCCCCCCCGCAGTCACCCCGCTGAACGCCTTGCAGACGCCCTTCAGCCAGGCACCCGCGCAGCCGCTCCCCACCGGCTCTGTCCCAGCCATGGCCCCCAAGCTGCCGCCCTCCTCCCAACCCAGCCTGGTCTCCACCGTCACCACCAACCCCAGTCTGCTGACCCAGCCGCCCGGCCAGCCCCCCCCGCAGCCTGGGGCCCCAGCCATGGTACGTGCAGCCCCGCGGGGCCTCTGTGAACTCTGCTCGCCAGCCACATTACCAGGTCACTGCTAGTTTGGATCTGACTGTGATGGGTCCCCCCTGGGGTGCCACCTGGAACTGGGGTACCCCCCCCGACCCACCAGCCTGGGCTGCAAAGCCCTCCACGCCAGCACTTTCCCCCGCATTCGCACAGGTAGGGACCCCCCCAGCTGCAGGCTCTCCAACCACCACTTCATCTTCCAGCGCTTGCTCGTGTCCATGAGGTGTGTGCACCGGTGCCGGAAGTCTGTCCCTCAGCCGTATCTGTAGGGGAGCGGCAGTGGCGCCCACATGACGCGGTATAAGGGGCGCCACCGGTGCCCCCCACCCTCACTTACTTCTTGCCGGAAACTCCGACAGCGGGGAAGGAGGATGGGTCATGGAATGGGTGTGAGCACCACATCCTTAGGGAACCGGTCACTGTCTTCTTCCAGCCCGGAGCCCCAGAGCAGAACCGAAATGACAGATCTTCATGTCCCGCAGAGCGAGACTTTTCGAACGATACCTCAGCAGACAGACTTGGCCCAAAACATCCCCTCGTTCCATGACCGTGGTGAATACGGGGTGCCGGGGCGCCACCCCCAAAAGACCCCGCTGCCAGCCCACCTTTTAGGATCTAACCCTAAAGGTTTTATTAGAAAAGAAAGAAGAGAGGAGTTAGCGGTCAAAGCTCCGATCCGTACGCGTGGTGTCACGGAGTGCG